GAAGCAAATTGAAAGATGTGAGGGGGGGGGGGTGCACCTGGTCCGATAAAAAAAAGATTATAGCCCAAGGTTTCAGTGCCTATATTATGTCTGTATCTTTGCAAAAAAAATGTGAAGGGTTAGCCTCCCCCTGTTCCAAAGCCAATGTGTGCAGGGGTACATGTACATGTCATACATATGTACAAACCCTTCTCTTTACAACATACTTATAAATATACGATTAATTTGTCATTATATGATGGAAAGTAACATATACGACAAGTCTATCATTAAGAAAGAATGTAAGGTGTATATATAGTTTTCTTAAGGAACTATATTAATTGCATAAATCTGTAAATTGAGGATGTGATTTTAATTTACATTGTATGAAATTTGAAAACAAACTTATTCAAATAGTAACCGGTGCCGTTGTCTAATAGTAGCCGTAACACAAGATTCTCCTAATAAAAACGCTCTATCTTGTAAGAAACCCATCAAAGCGGATAATGATATAAAATAACCAATAATATTTACAAATACACAACGAACTGTCGATTCATTTTTATCAAATATCTAAAACTTTTGACGCAATTTTAATATATTTCTTACGTGCATGTAAATGTGTCCAACACCTTCGACAGTTTTCGTCATATATATCAGCAATCCTTCAATTCATTAAAATTCTAAATATACATGTTAGTTTCAAAATGTATGTAACGTTCCGTAAGGGTGAAATACCAAGCAGCTAAACTTTAATAATTGAATTATTGACCATTTTGTTGAGCCAGCGAAGAAAAATACTTACAATTTCGTCCATTTTTTTCCACTAGCAACCGCTCAGTTTTCAGATAGCAGCAACGAACGCGCAATTTTTTCTGATAGCAACCGTTTAGGTACTACACCGTGGGATAAAGACGTCTGCAACGTCATGGAATCTACCTCCGCCTTTATCTAGAAAGTTCTATTCCCACTTACAAGTCAGAGTTATCCATCTTTGCTCATTGTCACTGCGTAAATAGAGAAAATGAATTTATTGACGGAACCTTAAATCTCCAAAATGCAGAATCCGATTGAATAAATAATATGTTTAGTATTTTTGTAGAATAATTTGTATATACAACGCTGTAATGTATACTGCATACAATATTATTTTTCTTCAAAGTGGTTAGTTGACACAGAACGGAGATTTCTTTTTAAGATATAAATTTGTAAATCAAAAACTTTCAATATACAGACTAACACTACACAGCTAAATTTAAACTTATAGGCATATAATGAATTAAGTAACATGCAAAAGAGAGAATATTGAATGTGTAAATATGTTGATCTGGAGAGTGTATATATCTCTAACATCATCAATACTATTTCCGCTTTTATCTCGAAAGTTCTATTCTCATTCACAGGTCAGAGTTATCATTCTTTGCCCACCATATACATACTAAGTAAATAGAGCAAATTTGGGTACCGAAAATATACAAAATGCGGAATCTGATTTAAAAACAAACTATATAATTAATATTTGTAGAAAAATGTCTGTTTAACATGAGAATATTTTGAAAAAATATCCAAAAACAAAAAAAATTAAAATTGACCAAAAAGAGATTCACTTCCGGTTCGGACAGGAAGTACTGGAGTCACACGAAAACAACTTCAAAACAAATAGAATATCATTATCTCATACTCCTGTAAATATCATATCTTTACCTCAAACCGTTTCTGAGAAAACTGCCGGACAAAAATCCATTTTAAAATTCGAAAATCGACCATAACTTCGGACCGGAAGTGAATTTTTCAAAAAACGGATTTTTATATAAACTTCATATATCAACCTACTTACATGAGAAAAATTGTGAAAATCTATTCAGCCATCTCTGAGTAATCGCGCTCACAAAATTTGGGAGGAATAATAATAATAATAATAATAACTAGAATCTTGTTGCCATGGCAACAAATAAGTCTTCCGTTCTTCTAAATCTGTAAGAATTTGCTTTTTTTCTCTGCAAAAAACATAGATATCATATGTACTCTGAAAGAAAAAAAACTGCAAAAAGGTCTTTCAGTACTTAATGTACTTTGATTTTCATGACCAATCTTGTTGTGCATTTTGGCACTCATAAGAGTTACACGTGTATCATAGACAAACCAACGGACGAATGAACACCGTACTCTCATAAACTTCACTGTGTTTATGTTCTGGCACAATTGTGAAGTTTATAAAAATGTCATGAACTAAGTTAGTACCACATTAAACGTAAAGTCGTTGATTTTTACAGTAATACAATCGAGATTTGTCTGCAGAAAAATTATTCAACTACAGGAATTATTCAGCAATCGATTAATTGATTACTAGTATATGTTGCTTAATTCCCTCCCGAGAATTTTTCACATGGAGAAGCCTCCACTCGCCGATGGAGACTGCAAAATGTTGTCCTATAATTTGGCTCTAATCGCCATTGAGCAGTGAGGAATTTTTTTGAGTCAGTACCATCTGACACACAGGACCTCGATTTAAACGATCTCATCTGACGGACCGGTCTCCACGTCCCAACTGAAGTCCATAATACAGATATATGATGCTCTAGCCATGTTTTTATTTCATTTTTCAAATTTGTTGCATCAGATTTTCTTAAAGATCATACTTAATAAAAATCATTTCGAACAACTTTATTGCAATGCATACAGCGTCCGGTGATTTTGATTGACAGGTCAATACATGTGCACTTAGTGTTATACTTCTTAAGCAGAAAATATGTACAGAGTGACTATGGCGGACTATGAAATCAGAAAATATTTAATAAAGAATGGGTACAACTGATATAGAACTGATTTTTTGTCTATGTAAATGGATAGGATAATCAGGATTAAAAGGGAATCTCTCTCTCTCTCTCTCTCTCTCTCTCTCTCTCTCTCTCTCTCTCAGACATGTAAATTTTAGTATCTTGCCTAATGAAAAATCTACTATTATAGAATATTAATTCTGTATACATGTTAATGGTAATTATAACCAAATGTTCCAGATTTAATTGTATAACGAATTTATAATTCAAAGGCCTATAGTTGCAATAATGTCTCCGAATAAAATCAAGAGGGGGGGGGGGGGGGGCTTCAAAAGAATTACATACTCGGTAATTTTATGTTTTATGAATTAAAAGGAAAATACTTAAGGTTGCATGTACATACATATAATTATATAGCATTGCATAAAATTGTGTTCATTCGTATACTTTATCTAACATATCAACAGACCTTTGCAGGTGTTTTTGTATCATGTTTTTAGCGTAGCATTATTTCACACAGAAACGCGTAACTTTCACATAATGTTAACCCTTTGAGTACTAGTATTTCACAAAAATCCTAGAATCGCTTTTTCTCATCTTCAATAACTTCTCGCGGTTATATAAAAGTATAGATCAAGTATAATCAATTACACTATAAGACTTTTAATCAATAAAATATACGTGTTAAAACCAATCTAAAGATTGATTTTCTTTCTTTTAAGTTGCAGATATCAATTTATTTCTAAAGGCTTACACTTACTCTTCTTTCTCTCTGTCCCCTTTGAGTACATATAATATTTTAGAATCGAAAATAAAACTCGGATTCCGGGATAATTTCGCATTCAGATTAGAGAATGAATTAAGAATATTTTTTTTTTTAAATATAATCATAACAGACATTACAGATTTACACTACGCTGACAACTTTAAACTATGCATATACTGAAAGCAGTAACCAACGTAATCTTTCATGCAGAAGTGGATATGGAAACTCAAAGTCTAATTATTTTTTTTATGTGAAAAGTGGATATAGACGTCTGCGACGTCATGGATACTACCTCCGCCTTTATCTCGAAAGTTCTATTCCCACTTACAAGTCAGAGTTATCTATCTTTGCTCATTGTCACTACGTAAATATAGAAAATGAATTTATTGACGGAACCTTAAATCTCCAAAGTGCAGAATCCGATTGAATAAATAATATGTTTAGTATTTTTGTAGAATAATTTGTATATAAATCGCTGTAATGTATACTGCATACAATATTATTTTCTTCAAAGTGCTTAGTTGACACAGAACGGATATTTTTTTTTTATATAAATTTGTAAATCAAAAACTTTCAATATACAGACTAACACTACACAGCCAAATTTAAACTAATATGCATGTAGTGAATTAAGTAACATGCAAAAGAGAGAATTTTGAATGTGTACATATGTTGATCTGGAGAGCGTATATATGTCTCTAACGTCATCAATACTATTTCCGCCTTTATCTCGAAAGTTCTATTCTCATTCACAGGTCAGAGTTATCTTTCTTTACCCACCTTATACATACTACGTAAATAGAGAACAATTCGGTACCGAAAAATACAAAATGCAGAATCTGATTTAAAAACAAATTATATATTTAGTATTTGTAGAAAAATGTCTGTTTTACATAAGAATGTCTTGAAAAAATATCTAAAAACAAAAAAATCAAAAAATGACCAAAAACAAATTCACTTCCGGTTCGGACAGGAAGTACTGGAAACACACGAAAACAACTTCAAAACAAATAGAATATCATGATCTAATATTCCTGTAAATTTCATATCTTTATCTCAACCCGTTTCCGAGAAAACTGCCGGACAAAAGTCCAATTTAAAATTCGAAAATCGGCCATAACTTCGGACCGGAAGTGAATTTTTCAAGAAACGGAATTTTGTATAAACTTCATATATCAACCAACTTACATGAGAAAAATTGTGAAAATCTATCCAGCCATCTCTGAGTAATCGCGCTCACAAAATTTGGGAGGAATAATAATAATAATAATAATAATAATAATAAAAAGAAACAATACAAACACTATAAGTCTTCCGTTGTGAACAGAAGACTTAATAATAAAAAGAAACAATACAAACACGTTGTGAACGGAAGACTTAATAATAATAAGAAACCGAGTAAAAACAATATGTTCCCAAACTCCGTTTGGGGAACATAATAATAACTTGAATTGACTGGTTGGTCTGAAAATAAATAGATGGCAAGCGGAGATGATTATAATTTTGAACTGGGGGAGAAAATAGAAGATGGATCCTACGGCAATGTATACTTGTGTTATGACAGAAATGATGGAGACAAAAAGATAGGTGTACGAAAATACCTTGGGGAAATATTTGTTATCTATTTCTTGTGTGGTTTTAAATGGTGTTTAAACTGAAACTTGTCTGCATTTTGTTCATTTTGTAATAATTGAAACAAACTTTAAATTGTGCCTAGATTGATTTCATTCAGTTAATTATATAGATGTTTTAATTCTACTTTCGTTTCGAAAAGGCGTGTTTCCACTTTAATATAATGATAATAATAATACAAGTAGAGCTTTTCAAAAAAGCTTACCGTCTTTAGCAACAATTTTAAACAGTAAACAGATCTATACTTAACAGGCCGTATAATTCTTTTGAATTTCTTGATTTTGTATTTCTAAATTAGCTTTTTACGGGCATTAGCCCTACCACGGTTGTCGCTCAGTCATCTCCGTAAACTTTGACTGGCCGAGAGCTTTCGGCAAACCTCGGCTGATTCCCATTCACTCTTCAAACAAGAAAGGGGAAAAGAATAATAACAAATTGTAGAGCCTGCAAGTACGAGGGTTGTCCCGTAAAATCGTGGACAAGTTGTCTAGTTTGAAAAATAATCATCACTGAATTCTGAAATTTTCACCACTTTTTAGTAGATAAATTATGAATATACATAGCAAATTTTAAATAGATATATGCATAGGTAAACAAATTATGATATTTTATGTTATGTACTTTATCGCCCTACGGCGCACGGATGATAACGTCAAAGTGTCAAAAACAGCGTCACGTTTCATCTTTGCTAAACTTAAAGTTGGATAAGCCCCACTTAAATTTAGAAATTTTATTGATTTACATATGTGAGTATCTATAACCAGTTAAGAAAACAATGTGGCCAACTCATGCGATCTGATGAATATTTATTAAAAAGTTACAGACAGTATTCTCACCATCATTCAACTAAAAGAGAATCTCGCATGGACGGTCGACAGTGACAGCTTCCTTTGCTATTACAAATGGCAGTCTGTCCATATGTTTTGTACTATCTGGGGACTCGACCACGAAGACTTCACTAAGAAAACTTTCATTTCATTTATATACTAAGGATCTGGTGATATTTTTCATATTTTTTCTTTCTTCTGTATTCATTTAAAGTCTCTTAAGGCGTCATTACAACATCCTAATCTATCTGAACTGCTCTCCGGTGCGCCGTAACGTCATAAAAAGTCGCCATTTTTCGTGTATTGTGTTTATTACTTTCCCATTTCAAATGCTCGGGAAACTGCCAAAAATTAACCAAATGTCTTGAAATTTTTAAAAAGACGACAGAATCGATTAAGGAATGGAATTAAGATAATTTTCATCCTAATCTTATGTATTGAAAACTTTTATTACCAATTAATTCTTATGTCTTATCTAATATAGCCTTGCTATTTTTAGCTTGCGCCGTAGGACCGTACCTTGTGCACATTCAAGCAGAATAAAATCTTTATTTTTGAATATATATTATCAAAAACATTATGATTCACTTAAATATGATGAATAAACATTTACTGAAAATTTCAGCTTAGTGCGCCCATTACTTTTCGACAAAAACGCCTTGTCCACGATTTTATGGGACAACCCTCGTAATAACTATCAAATTTTATTGATAATGAAATTAAAGAGACCTTTATATTTATTGCTATAAAAAATATCATGTTATCAAGAAATAATTAATGCTGATTTTGTTGTTCGTTTTGTCATTTTTTTAAGATTGGAAATCTTGCAAAATTGTTAAGTCGTACGAAAAATAGATCATCAGAAAGTTATCTCCCTTGCCTTGAACAGCATTTCAACCAATGAAATAATTGAAAATTTTCTCATCATGCAATTTCTACCAATCACAAAAGAGAGGAAGTGCATAGTCCGAAGACTGTAAAAAACTTCAACTATATAATACCGTCTTCAAAGGAAGACGGTAATCAATCTTATAACTTAAACTCATGGGAATTGAAAATCAGTTTGCTGTAAGCATTTCTTTATTATAAAAGTGTTCTTTATGGACGTGTTTTATTGTGTACTTTCAGTATGCTTTGAAAGTAATTGACCTGACAAAATCAACAGAGGATGAACGTGAACGAGCAGAACAAGAAGCAAGTTTGCTGAAAGATTTACAGCATGAATTTATTCTACGTACAGTTACATCATATCATGAAAAAGGTGCATTATGTATAGTGACAGAATTCTGTGATCAGGGAAATTTGTCAGAATTTTTGGAAAGAAGAAATGATAATTTTTTAGATGAACTACGAATAGTAGAGTGGTTTCGACAGATATGCAGTGCTTTAAAGGTACATACAACTTAAAAAAAAAACAATTGGGGTTTAAAAACAGGTATGAAACTCTTTTCATTGAATGCCCAATCTCACCAATGAAATATTTGTATAATCAATCAGACAATCAGGCAAATGATCTAATTTACTTTCCATTCATATCAATTCATTCTAAATAGTATACATAACTAACATTGTTCATTTCAAATTCTGAATACTTCCTGAGGTATATATGCTTAATGAAAGATATGAAGAAAACAAACCTAATTCAAGATAACAAAAATAAAACAATACAAAATAGGAGCAGAACAAACATGGACCTCCAAAATCAACCTACTTCTTTAAAAATTGGATTATTTATATGTGAATACATGTAAAAAGTAAAATATTAGATCTTGAAAGTATTTATGAAACATTCTTTATAATGACTTGGAAGAACTAAGAACGATAGCATTGTTCTCCCGCCTACCTCCAGGTCAGTTTTCAAAAGTTAAAATAAGATGATGTTTTATTATTTCAGTGGAAAATATCGTCTTAGGTCTACCCCCCTTACATGTATTTCAAGAGCTCGATTTATTTCAACAATAAAATGCTTTCTTTGTTTGTTATTACTGGAATTCACGGAAGCAGCTGTTGCAAAAAAAATACATAACCCGCGTAAGCGGGTTATGTAATTTTTTTCTGCAATAGCCGCGACCGTTAATACCAGTAATAACAAACAAAGACATTTTATTGTTTTATTTATATTTGTTTGAATAATCATTTAAAGTAGAATTAAAAAGATTAATTATTGTATTAATGATGCTAATGTCTTTATACGTTTCATTGATGGAACAGCCACTGATCATGAAATCTGTACAGACGACATGCCGACTGTAGTTCATGCAGTGATAAATGCAATGTGTTTTCTTAAGAAATAAAGAAAAAAATATTCAGCGGATATAAAAATTTTACTATTTAGCACGTTTACTATTTAACTGTTCTTTGTATTAAACAAAGATTTTATAGTCAAATTGTCAACATTCTTGAATTATATGGCTGGAAAATGTAGGCGGGAATTGAGAATTATCGTGTGTAGTTCTTTTACAAAGGAGCTGTGGCACGCATAGTCTCGGAATGTCCCCAAATTCCCTATGATAAAGTCTTTGATTCCCTAAACTGAATTCGAGCAAGATTGTTTGCTTTATGTAATGGACACAATGGAAACATGTCTTATAGTTTGAATAATGGCATTTTTAAAGCATGTTTAGAGCCCCATAGTTAGCTTTTGCGGTAAATCAAAAATTGACAAAGACTTTTTCCAAAAAATGGAGGTTTTGAATTCATGATAAAAATATCATATATTCAAAAGTAAAACAAAATATTTTACATTTAATTTCATAAAGTCATACACGTAAAAATAAAACACAATATTATGAATAAATGTAACCAAATAAAAAAGAAAAGAGCCTTGATACATATTTTAAGAACAAAAAAAAAAGATATTTCTTATAGATTGGCAATTGTAAATTTTATTTCATCACAGAGAACCTTCAAATTATATACTCCGTTTAACGAGGTCAAGTCTAATTGACTTTGTGCAGCTTTTTATTTTCATGCAGTCATTAGTGCGACGGAAAACCTTTCCAAAATATTGTGAATTATATATAAATTTATATAACATCTATCTGTAACGCCTACTGGACTGCAAATGTGATTTTTCGACAATTATTAGGAAAAAAACGCTGAAATGGCTCTAACGACGTGATGGTTTTCCGATTTTTCAAACAATGCACGACGCTGAAGAATGACACATGACTTGCTTATTTGTTTGTGGAAGTCCATGGATATAATACTAAAAACTGATAACAGAACATCAAAAGAAACAGAGCACATGTAGCTATAATATTGGACTTATTTAATGATAATTACATGTATATGTCCAATAAGATCTTCTTTTATTAGCATAGTGCTAAGATAATGTGTGCTTTTAGCTCTACTGGTCAAAGACCGGAAGAGCTTATGCGATAGTAATGCGTCTGTCGTCCGTCCGTCCGTCTGTCTGTCCGTCTCTCTAGCTGTCTGTTTCAAAATGCTTTTCCTCTTCCAGTTTTGGTCCGATTTCAACATAACTTGGCACACAAGTAGACTATAATATGATTTACGGTGTGAACGTTGGGGCGAGCGCAGTTATGTACTATCATAAACTTACACATGCACTGCCTATCATTCAAGAAAAAGAAAGAAAACAAAACAAAAAAAAGAAATCACTTCCCAAGCATCAGGATCGAGATTCCGAAATTCTCGGAAGTTTCCGACAAAATCGGAAATACCCGAACCGTTAAAGTGACGAAAGTATGACGTCAGATAAAAAACCCTGTTGACTTAGGACACAAACGATAGTTTTATGGCATGGATATTGCATTAATTCGTTGTTTGTAATTTTTTTCAAGTAAGTTGTTGCTATGATTAACCCACCATGTTGCTATGAACCGCAAAGGATTATTGGGAATTAAGTATGTTTTCACGTGGACTCATAAAAATTTCTTGGAACAATGTGCAGATTTCAACCCCAATTTCCTCCGTTCGTACACGTTAGTCTATTGAGCTCGCTACGCGAGCGGCGCTTCGCGCCGCCTCGCTGCGCTCGCTCATAAGATACATAATTCTGTGCATCGGTTTTTGATTTTGATGATTGTTTTGTCGTGATTACTAAAAATAGAAATTTCTGTGAAATGCTTTCAAAATGCTACTCCTTCTACAGGTTTGGTTTGATTTCAATGTAACTATACAAGTAGACTATACTAAGATACATAATTTTAAACATAGGTGTTTGATTTCAATGAACGGAGTTACCATGGTTACTGAAAATAGATTTTTTTTGAAAAACTTTCAAAATGCTAATCATTCTACAAATAAACACAGTATTATCGACTGCGTAATGGTGGCTTAATGGTAGCTTAAAGGATTTAGGACATAAAGCACCTGTAAGTCTATCTTGATGGTGACTTAATGGTATTTAAGAATCTGTGTTCGATTGATTCGTACGTTTAACATGTGGTTTTATGTCAATTAAAAAATTGTAGAGTTATAACAGTTACCAGTATCGTCACATAAAAATTAAAAATTTTACATTTATTATAAATAATGTTTAGAATAGAAAATTTACTAGAGTTTGATAAAGATGTAGAATGGTTGTTGACAGCTACACATTCATAGGTATGAGGCAAGAAACAAAGTGTAATTATTATTATTATTATTATTATTATTATTATTATTATTATTATTATTATTATATATGCACACGGTTAAAAATCAGGATTTGCCGGTATACCGATGAAATCACACATCCCTAGTAACAGACATATACATGCATGGTTACAGACAAACATAAGCACAGGAATATTACAGCTGTGTTTATTTCTTTACAGTACCTGCATGGTAGACATATTTTACATAGGGACGTGGCGACAAGCAGTGTCTACCTGACTGGTGAAGATATGAAATTTAAACTCGGTGATTTTGAATTTGTCAAGTATGTTAATTAGCAAGTTTTCAAGTACACACAAAGCATCACAATACGATCAAATATTTGATCTGCTCACATAGACTTTAATTTGTGTTGATCTTTGGTATTTCAAATGTTTATATCTTAAAATGGAATTTTTTACTATATTTTTTTACTTACTTTAATCTCAATATCTCAAACCCTCAGATATTTTGTATTGGTTTATCATATCTATAGTATCAAAGCAAACACGTTGAGCAAACATGCTTATAATAAATTGACCCTTATAGCGAAGTGATTGTCATACTGCCAGGCTTCCAAATATTTTGTTAACATTATGGATATGACAAAATTCATTTATATAGAAGCAAAATTGACCCTCTGGAGCACTTGTTTTACTGTATGATGATTTTATTTATTACAGAGTCGTGGAGGGACCTATTACCGAAATCATACCCCATCCCTAACAAAAAAATACTATAGTTAACTATAGTTAACTATAGTTAACTATAGTAAATCAAAGTGTCAAAGTTTTCGTCAAAGTTTTTGAAAGTGTCAAAGTTTTCGCCAAAGTTTTTCAAAGTGTCAAAGTTTTCATCAAAGTTTTTCAAAGTGTCAAAGTTTTCGCCAAAGTTTTTCAAAGTGTCAAAGTTTTCGCCAAAGTTTTTCAAAGTGTCAAAGTTTTCGCCAAAGTTTTTCAAAGTGTCAAAGTTTTCGCCAAAGTTTTTCAAAGTGTCAAAGTTTTCGCCAAAGTTTTTCAAAGTGTCAAAGTTTTTGATAAAGTTTTTAAAGTATCAAACTTTTCAATAAAGTTTTTCAAGGCATCCCAAGTTTTCGATAAAGTTTTTTAAATTTTCAAAGTTGGCGATAAAGTTTTTTAAATTTTCAAAGTTGGCGATAAAGTTTTTTAGTGTCAAAATTGGTGATAAAGTTTTTCTATGTGTTAAAGTATCCAAGTTTTCCATAAAGTTTTTTAAATTTTCAAAGTTTTCGATAAAGTTTTTTAAATTTTCAAAGTTCTCGATGGAGTTTTTAAAGTGTCAAAGTTTTTTATAAAGTTTTTCGAAGTGTTTAATTTTTTCGATAAATTTTTTCAAAGTATCCAAGTTTTCGATTAAGTTTTAAAAAGTATCAAAGACTTCAATAATGTTTTTCAAAGTGTCAAAGTTTTCGATAAAGTTTCTCAAAGAATCAAAGTTTTCGATAAAGTTTTTTAAAGTGTCAAAGTTTTCAATAAACTTTTTCAAAGTTTTAAAGCATCCAAGTTTTCGATAAAGTTTTTCGAAGTATCCAATTTTTCGATTAAGTTTTTCAAAGTATCCAAGTTTTCGATAAAGTTTTTCAAAGTATCAAAGTTTTCGATAAAGTTTTTCAAAGTATCAAAGTTTTCGATAAAGTTTTTCAAAGTGTCAAAGTTTTCGCCAAAGTTTTTCAAAGTGTCAAAGTTTTCGCCAAAGTTTTTCAAAGTGTCAAAGTTTTCGTCAAAGTTTTTCAAAGTGTCAAAGTTTTCGCCAAAGTTTTTCAAAGTGTCAAAGTTTTTGTCAAAGTTTTTCAAAGTGTCAAAGTTTTCGCCAAAGTTTTTCAAAGTGTCAAAGTTTTTGTCAAAGTTTTTCAAAGTGTCAAAGTTTTTGTCAAAGTTTTTCAAAGTGTCAAAGTTATCACTATAGTAAATCAAAGTTTTCAAAGTGTCAAAGTTATCACTATAGTTAACTATAGTAAACTATAGTTAACTATAGTTAACTATAGTATTTTTTTGTTAGGGATCTCCGGAACCTCCACTACAAGAGTCCTGAAATCTTATTAAATAAACCTTATGACTCTAAGGTATTTATAAAATTTTTATATTTTTAGAAAATTGCAGGAAAAAATTTCACTAGGAAGTTGAAGGCTTGTTAATACTCTTCCTCCTTTGAGAGGAAATACTCACCGTCAACTTCTCAACAGAGAATGATGCAGGATCTCAAAAGAAAATAATTTAGAAATAGAATATTTCGAGACATATAGAGTAGCTGACAGAACATAGTTTAATCATGAGAGGTCTCTGCATCGTATATACATATTTTTAATTTGAAATTATGCGGTTTATAGCATATATACCTTAATATCGGTATGTCTGTCCGTCCGTAAGTCCAGCTGTATTTCTGTAACAATTCTATTGTATCATGCAAATCATGCAAAGTTTTTGCCGTGAAATTTTACAAAACGGAAGGCGCCTTTTGATTTTGAGGCAAAGGGCCTAACGTCACATTCGTAAATTTATACATTTTATGTTTGTGTATAAAAATAAAAAAAAAACTTGATAAATAACTGGTAAGTGGGCCTTGAAATGTACACCCAAACCCAGGTAGCACAAAATATTTTAAAACATTTTATTGGTGTTGTAAAAAGATTTTTTCGACACATTTTAGACTAAACATTTTAAACATATTTTCAAAACATTTCCTCTTCTAATTATAACATTATAAAAACATTTTAAAAATATTTTCAAACAGCTTAGGATAAAATCCTTTTGGAACATTTTTTTCTAAAATGTTTTTGAAACATATGAACAATGAAACATGATTCCTTTTCCATAAATTTGAAACATTGCATGAAAACGTTTCTGAAACAAATGGAAGGAATATTGTCAAAATGTTTTTGAAACATATCTAATATTGTTAAAAAAAAATATTTCTAAAAATTTTTTGAAACATCAGTCAAAAATTATTCAAAGGGTATGTAAAGTTTTCAAATATTAAAGATTTTATATAACGTTTTAAAGCGTTCTAAAAACATGAAATGAAACATTCTGTAAATCGGAAATATTGCATATTACGTTTCTGAAACATTTGGAAGGGACATTTTAAGAATATTCTTAATATCGCTGTTATTTTAACACTCAATTCTGGGTATTATTCGGACTAGGCAGTGAAAATGATTATTTAAAATATTAAATAAAATAATTCTTTTTACAACAACTGAAACATTTTAATTATAGTTTTTGCAACATTTTTTGGAAACATTTTCAAAATGTTTCTGAAACAATTATGTACTAATGTAATTGCGGCTCAATTTAATTCATTTAGTAATTTTAAGAGTTTGTTGTGAGAATGTTTTTAGAACATTCATTTTTCATTGCTGCAACATTTTTTAATGTTACTTTTAAAATGTTCTTAAGACATTCAAATAATGTATGATTGCGATTTACCTAAAATTGAGTTTATGAAGAAGAAAAAAAAGAATATATAGAGGAGGAATATTGTTGAAATGAGGAACTGTAGTAATCTTTTAATTGAAAGATTTTTTTCTGGAATTTTATAATGATTTCTAATTTTGGCTTATTGATTAATCAGACATGTATAAAGTCCTTCGATGAAATGAAATGATTTTTGTTACATTTTTAAACAATGTTATGATAACATATGTTGAAATATTTTAAAAAATGTTTTAGAAACGTTTAAAAAAAAACATACAAAATCACGTGATTAAAACATTTTCAAAAATGTTTTTGCAACATTTTATAAAATTTTAAGAACATTAAGATAATGTTTTTTGTGTTAACTTATCTTTAGCTAGATATAACTCAAAAAAGATATGAAATATTAAGGGTATTGGAGACGTATAGATAATTAAGATATCAAAGTTCCTATTTAATGAACAACGTGTATATCTGTAAACCTGTGGTGACTGGAAAGACATGAACTTATAATAAAAAAGAAAATGTATATATTTTACAGAGTGACATCTGGGCTATGGGTGTGTGTGTTTATGTAATGGCTACTTTAGAACAACCATTTCATGGAGGAAACATACAGCTAGCGTTTAAATTTGTACACGGTCAGGTATGTACAGCCACTTTACATATCAGAACACATGTTATCCCAGATAGACGATTGTGTTATTAGAAATTTCATGTATACATTTAATAGATTTAACGGACAAGATAGGCTTAAACATAGTTTTAGTTATTTCAGATTTCATATAAATCAAACAAACAATATGGATGTTATTTTTGCTTGTTTAATATGGCGCTTCTGGCCGCGACGATCAATTTGCTGGGGTTACCACAGGGCTGTTTTTATCAATCAATTATTAATCAATCAATCCATCAATCAAATCAAAAATCAATCGAGTCAATTATTTGTCAATCAATCAATCATTAATCAATCAATCAATTCAAATATCAATCAAGTCAATAAACAATAGAATGAGCGTAAGAATATGTGTTGCACTCGTCCAATTTCGTTGAGGTGCGATGGAATGTGCCACTTGCAAGGGCCATGAATACTCGTGTCTACTACGAGTAAAAATGGAACTGCAACCGCCACCAGTGGGGTGCCAAGAACCATGGTGACGCCGACAGTACCTCAACGCAAATGGTCACCGTCGACCAGGGCCTGCTCATTCACCAATACAGATTAACAGAATAAGTGATTACAGACGTTTTACAAATAGAGTCATGGACTTTTCCAACATCTATTTACTCTTACATTGTTGATACTTACAGCCACTGTATTTCTCCAGGAATGAAATAAAATATCTGTCTGGTTTAAAGTCATCATTTCGTAAGTTCTATGTTCGATACAATGACCTTGTCAGCAAAAATAATTTATCATTGAGTCAAATGCCGACTGACGTTTTTTATACCAATTGTTAGCCCATTATTTATACACTGATTTGACGACGGATTTTTCTGTTATTTCCTGATCATGACAAGGAGCACACGGCGGGTGTGACCGGTCAGCAGGGCATGCTTACTCCTCCATTGCACCTGATCCCACCTCTGATGTTTCGGAGGTCCGTGTTTGCTCTGCTCTTATCTTGTATTGTTTTATGGACTTTGAGATTGAATACGGTTCCTTATCTCCATAACCTCCTTTTATTTAATTATTATTTTCTTATTTGCAATACATCTGTGGTTATTGAACACAGAAGGAGTTGATAAGTAAGTGGCTAATTATAAGTCGCAGGTTCAAATTCCAATGAGGAACGTTGCAAACGGTCCTTCAAAAGGTACCATAGAACATATGTCTAGTGTCGCAAAAGATACTGACCCCAAAAAGATCCCCCACTGCAAAATGGCAAAAAGTACTGAGTACGTCTAAACTGGCAGCAATGAAAACATGTTCAAATGTTTTCCCAACAAATCTTGAAGGGATAAAAAGCAAAAAAAAAAGCAACCAATCTTCAGGGGCCAAATTGAAGAAAAATAAAGTCGACGCCTCAGGAAACGAAATCATGATTTCAAAACTTTTTGGAAAGAGTATTTAAACAATATTTAATTGAACAAAACCGAATCTACAAATAAAAATAATATATACAATGTCATAGTCACGAAGTGAAACCTATAAACAAGAGGCTAATGGGCCTTATACACGTAAGTCACCTGAGTATCATGAAACAACTTTCCAAAAATTGAATTTGCTTCGTGTTTTAAACCAGAGGGCATGAAATTCACAATTTTGAAAGAGACACCATTGTTTATCATAATAATACACTTTGCATGTTTACTCTAGTTACCTTATTCCCAGAGGTGGATCAGAGTATCAAAGAGAAATGCACTTCTACTTAATATCCAGTTGTGCACCCTACAGGAATCACTGACCTTAGTGCAACATACATGTATTTCAAAATTATGAAAATTTTATCATAAATTTTATTTCATCATAAATCACTATTTAAACTACGAGGGTCGTTCAAAAATTACACGGACTTGTGGAACAGAAACAAATATTTGACGGCATAATCGAGCAAAATGTCACAAATAATATTAAATAATCATTACTTATATGGTCTTCAAAATTTAATAACAAAATGTTGTAAATTGGTTTCAATTTTGAAGGATTTTTCAGGACATATCATTGAGTCACGGAGCAGCAAAATCTCCGACCTCACTGGCATTATAAAAAAATGTGATTGAGTTTTAATTTTCTCAACATTTTCCTTATCTACTCAACATCCAAACGCCTTTTTTTGTCAAGCTTAAAATCTTATAAACAAGTAAAGAATATTCTTTTTTTGTTTTAAAACCAAAAACTGCAGGTATTTATGAGATATAGTATGATATTGCTGACTCTAAATCACGTTCTTTATAATCCGGATAAAGTTTTCCTCGATAATCTTCTTCCCGTCCTTCCGTATAGCCTTTTTACAGAGGTCTAACGTTCTAAAATTTAAATTTGCTATTTGTGGACGAATGTCACGAATACCCTAGTTTACTACATATTTTTTTATGCATATTTTGGATCTTTGTTTGCGATATCTCGAGTATTACACATAATTTAACAAAAGTGTAGTGCGCCGTCAATTCAGGAGACGTCATTTTCACAGTCGTTTTAACGGGAATCGCATCAGAGAAAAATCACAATATTTCTGTTAATACTTCAAATATTAAGTCAGAAATTTAAAACATAATAAAAGAACAATTTAAAGATACTTTTGAGAAAATTGTCGAAAAATATCGCGAATCATAGAAAATTATTGAGTTAAATTTTGGATTCCGCATGCTTTTGCTTGAAATTTTTTTTGTCGTGCTCCGTACCACTCTATCAGCGATATCAACATACCGTTAATTTGAGTAGATTTTTAAAATACCAAAAAAAATGCCTTACATTTATTGGAATCTTTAAGATACATATTTCTGTGAAATTTCATAACAATACGACGTCTGTAAAAGTAAATAATAGCACATTCTTGTAAATTTTGAACGGCCCTCGTATAATTATAGCCTTGTCCTAGGACTAGAACCCCTGAACATTGGGCCTTGAATTTCACAATTTTGGTAGAGGACTTAATGCTCATTACATTCATGCCAACATCTTTGACAGCTTGAAATCCAAGAGTAAAGAAGAAGATTTTTAAAGATTTCATTAATTTTAATGCTATTTCCCCACCCCTAAGGGGTAGAGACATGAAATTCACAAATTCGTTCCCTTTCATCCATAGATGATTTATACCAAATTTGGTTGAAATTAGTTTAGTGGTTTCAGAGAGGAAGTTGAAAATGTTTAAATGTTAACGAACAGCGCACGACGACGGACGAATACAGATAGCAACAGGTCACTTAAGTTCACTCAGCTGACCTTAAAAAGACATGAAGAAAGGACATATAAATTATATTTATCAGGACGAATATGCAGACATATTTACAACAACTCCTATGGTTCCATAATGGCATATGGTAAACATAGGCACTTAAATGCTTTTTTTATTAGATAAAAAGACTCAAATAAAATGCAGTGAAATTAAATGATGTGTACACTAGATGGTCCCCTCATCTGCATATGAGGCGGACCTTACCATGTAATTCAAGTCAACAGAGAGGTTTGTTTGTTGTTTAGCATCCCTTTCAAAGATTTGTTCAATCACATGGAGACGTCAAGACACCCCTGAAACACTCTTAATTAGTCACGGTAAATTTCATTATAGAATTGTCTTAAGAGTGAAGAATTCTAGTTAACTAAAGGCATAAGATTGAGACGTCGCCGTTGATTTATAAAGTACTAATTCTCTGTAATCACATATGAACAACAAATGCTTGAAAATTACAGTACAACAACATCAGCCGTTCTTATAAAAACTGATTTTGATGAAATTGTATTTTATATAAAACTTGATTAACAATTAAAAAAATATTTGAATCATCTTTATTAAAGAGAAACTTTTCAGTCGGCGCGATTTAATTAGGTCGGTCACGTTAGGGGAAACAAAGATATTTTTTTTTAATTTTGGCCGTAATATAGAATTTTTCTCCAACAAAGTTTTGTCCAATTAAAGGTCCAATACAATCATGATTTGAACCAGATAAAAATACTTGGTACCAGGAGATTTTTAAAGACCCTGATAGCTCATAGAGTTCTCTGTAGATTAATCTAATGTATAACCTCTGTTACACAGTTACCTATGCCTAAGGATAGATATAGTCCCCAGTTGATAAACCTGATGGAGAGAATGTTGTGTCGGGAAACAGACAAGAGACCGTCAGCTGAAGATCTTCTGAATGATGTCCTCTTCAAAACTCATGTAATACCAAAAGTAGGTTAAAAAATTATTATTCTAAGCATATTAATTTCACGTGTTTAATAGTTTGATTTTTTTTTAGCTATAATGTTACAATTCCAATCTTGGACAAAAACACGTTTAAGAAAAAGTTAAACATCGATAAATTTTTCAGTTATAACTACTTTCTTGACCAATCTTCCGAGCTATCGTATAAACAATGAAAGTAGTCATAAATAAAACAAAATAATTGGAACATAATTGCTAATGTACCTAAAATGCACAATCTGCAATTCTGAATAATACTTCATAAAATGTAAGACATTACACCTAATGAAATTACATTTGCGTAGATAAGTGTGGCACATGTTTTGACTTTCATGTTAGTAATGCATTATTTTTTTTAGATCTATACTAAGTGGGGGCCAGACTCATGATTGTGTCGTCTACAAAGCAGAACGGTACGTTAGGATCACTTTACTCGGCGTCTGTGTGCCTTTCTGTCTAGCTGTCTGTCTGTCTTTCCTTCCGTTTTTCACACCCTATGTCTTAACAGCTTAAGAGGTATGCAATTCATATTTTGAATATATATTGCTTTTCAACGTGGCTTATGCAATTTAGATAGTTAGATATTTATATAGTTACTGTTCTAGTGACTCTTGCCCTTCATCTTTGGCCTACTTTTAAAAATAATTCATATTGCAAATGTACAGCATATTTTTGGCATTTAAGAGGTATGTCTAAGTTATTCAGCATGTGCAATGTGGCAACGCACTTTGAAAAAATTATGCACATTGAAAAAAGATTTTCAAAGTGCCAAAAAATTGGGACAAAATCAGCGCACTTTGAACATTTTTTTCACAGTGCGTTTAATTTTGGACACACTCAACGCGCATTGATTTTTTATTCAAATTGCGTTAAGAGTGTTCATCAACATTTTTGCCATATGAACATTTAACATTGAACTTCCAATTATGAGGGATGATCCACTTCGTGATTGTAGTTCTTCATTTTTTGTTGCTTTTGGGGCTTTGGGTCTTTCGTCTTTTAATTCAGCAAGTTCTGTAAGGCATATCTCTGTGTTTTTGCTCGACTCAGTCACACTTTTTATGGTGTTGCACATGTCTAGAAAAGCCGCCTGAAAAAGTAAGCCTCTCTGTAGATGTCTCCTTGTGTTTAGCTGCCAGTTCTAGGTTTGTGTACTGGCAGACACAGACGATTTAGTATCTTAAATGCTCAATTTCTCTTTTAGTTTTTCTACCTCAAGAGTGAGGAATTTAACAGTCTCAGGCAGCTGTTTTATCGCAGCTGCACTATTGCAGTGTCTGCATTCACCGAGTTCATTGTTTTTACATTTTTTTACAATAGCGTTTGATGTTGAAGCTAATTGTGGTTGTGGGTAGGTAGATATTTCAGCAATGATCATTTTCAAGTTCTTGCAGGAATTTTTGTACCAGGTGAAAGCAGCATCTCCTGGATATGAAGAGAGTCTGTAAATTTGTAAAGCGCAACACTTACAGATTTACACAGAGTCTTATAAATCCATCCATTTCTGTTACTCCGATTGTAGAATATCAGGTTCTTCTGCAGGAGTCTTGATAATTTAGAATACCCCTCATTCTCAAATGTGATTGTGACACTCTCATTATGTAGCTTCTCTTTTAAAAAATCTGGTATTTTCACATCTTCTGGAGTCGACTCATTATGACTGTTAACAAATGAATTTGAGAGTCTAGAATTGATGTAAAAAAAAACTGTATTTTTACTAAGATCTATTTTTATCCATTCTGAAGTTATTATCTCCAATAGAATCTTAATAGAGAGATAATAGCATCAGAAAACACGTCCGCTCACCTTGACTGTCTTATATCGATTTCCTCTGCCTGTAACTGGTTGAAGCGGGCCAACAATATCCACAGCAATACGTTGAAAAGGTTCTGATATCATGGGCTTTTGTCCAAGAGGAACTGCATGTACCCTTTCCTTAGTTATTTTTCTTTGGCATACGTCACACGAACGACAAAATCGCCTGACATCTGCTTGTACACCTGGCCAAAAGAATTCTGCTAGTATTCTATCTGTAGTCTTCTTAACACCCAAATGTCCTGCAATAACATTCATGAGCCATCTCATTAACCATTGTTCTATACTTCCTCGGAAACGTCTTTCCATTTGAAACCTTTGGACTACTGAATTCTTTGTAGAGTAATTGCTTCCGTATAAACATCCTTGTTGAACCTCTGTTATTAAGCTCCTTTACTGTCCCTTGTTTAGCAATGTTCCAACTCTTGCTTGAAGAATCATCCTTCGTCTGTTCACTTAATATCTCATCACGTACATCACGTACATCTTGTAGGGTTTCAGGAACACTCAATGGTTTATAAGGCAACTGTTTTTTCCTAAGTTGACTGCGAGTCTCAACAGCAAATGAAGGTTAAGTAGTTTTCATCCAATGAATATCCGGGTTGTCTGGTTTCCGAACATCATCGAAATTCCCAAGAATCAAATCAAATATCGGTCTTTCAAAGCATGAGACCTCGATTGTTCCAGTTAAATATGGTGTGTCTTCAACTATCGCAAGATCTGCATTTACTACACTTCCGTCAGCAAGAATGCATTTGTGAGCTTTTCCAGTCAGTTGGTTTGACGTAACCAAACTTTTCCAAATCACCGCACCACGACATCCGGTATCTTTTAAGTTTTAGTTTAAGTTTATCGCCAACGCATCCTTTAACAACAGGCATCACACCATCATCAACTGAAATTTTGTCACTTTGAGGCTTATGTGCTCCAACAAGAGAAAATTTGACTTCTTTTCCTTGTGAAAAGCGACGTCTATATCTGTTGAATCCCTGTTATTGCTCACTAAAGCGTGATGGTTGATGTGGTCTATCAGATTTTTCCTGTGTGTCTGTCTTAATTCTGAGGACTTCCTCGAAGGGCAATCAAACTGCTTGTGTCCGTATTCATCACAATTAAAACACTTGATTCCACCACTGGTTTTGGTTCCTTCACTAGAACTTTGAAAAGAGGATTGCTTTCCAAAGGAAACTTTCTTGTCGAAGATCGGTATTTGGGTAACAGCTGATGAAGAAGTTGCTCTCGCATCAACATACTGATCAGCATATCTGGCCATATCCTGAATAGAAGGAGGAATTCGTTCCTTCAAGAATAAGGAAAGTTCTTTGTTTCAGCACAAAATGAATTGTTCACGTAACATCAAGTCTTTGAGTCCTTCATATGTCTTAAATGTTTTCGATAACTCCACCCATCGTTCCATGTAACTTTCAATTCTAGTTGAAAACTGAATAAAGGTTTCACTACCATCGGGTTTTGAAGATCTGAATTTTTCCCTGAATGCATCCTAAGTCATGTCAAAGAGTTTCATCAGTGCTTTCTTATGTTCATAAAAGTCCAACGCACTGTCTGGTGGTAATCTAGCGAACACATCCAACGATTTTCCTTTTAGAAGGGCACTTAAGTGAGCTCCCCAATTTTTTCTTTGCCATTTCTGTGTGCTAGGTTTACATGTAGAGGTAGACATACACTGTAAAATGCTTAACCTCTCTATTGACAGAACTATTTACTTTTAGTTTTATATATAGGAGTATGTGTATTATATAATATGGCTGTAATGTATAAGGATTTACTGTTATACACAAAGATTTCATCATACCATGATTTTTCATCTTCAAATATTTTTATACACCTGGGGTTTTTTTCTGAAAAGGGAAACTTTCACTTAATGTTAAAAAGATTACATTGATTGTATAATGTCTCTTAGTCTTCAGAATTTTTTAATACAAATATGGAGAGACCAACCACTTGCCGTTGGAGAGATACAAACTTTGTCCTATACATGTCACTCATGACCATTGAGCAGTGAGGGATTTTTTTGTTCCAGTGCCTACTGACTACTGCCACACGGGACCTCAGTTTATATGATAGCATCCGAAGGGCTGGTCTCCACGTCCCACAGTGGCATATGAACCCGCGATATAAGCATAAACTCCTTACTTTGAAATTCTAGAGCAGACGCTCTAAACACTGCACTGCGCAAGTGACTTAGAAGTTGCTTTGAAATATAGGATTGACTCCTTACTTCGCGACTCTAGAGCAGACGCTCTAACCACTTCACCACGCGGGCAACCATTTTTAAATAAAGCCTGTACTCAGTTAATTGTCTTTAGGCCGGATCTCCTATAGATTCAAATGTCAAAGCTCGACATTTGTCATATTCATTAAAAGTGACCGGGATGAACAAAATAAGTGGCATTTTAATGTAATCGTATATGAAAGCGAGATGATGTCATACTTAAATCTTGACATTTGTGTTACCAAAATTTCAGTAAAAAATTCCTTGCATATATGTTGGAAAGAAAAGTTTGTACACCATGTAATTATAAACATTTGCATCTCAAAACGATTATGGTATTATTTTTGGAATACTTCACACGGCTCAACTAGGATCAACCGAAGCCAATGACATTAAACCCACGTCATTAAAGAATTGAAATTTGACTGCTTTTATGACATTTTTGTGCACAATGAATTTCGGTATTATTGTTTATAATTATGTCATAACAGCATAGATAAAAAACTTGAAACTTTTAATATGGCTATTTTGTTCTATTTCGCTTTATCATTTTTACATATGAAATGCATATGAGATAGAAAGAAATATAAAAGATTTCATTTGAAACTGTGAAGAAAACTTTTGATGTCACATGAGTGTAAGATGTCAAACATAATGCATTGTTTTCTGTATGAATGATTTACAGAAGGTTTATCTTTGAACACATGATAGAAATAATGTATATGTGTGAATTCGTGTCGTCTGTCTAGATTGTCTTATGTGTGGATGACTCATAATTTGATTTGTATTACATGTTTAAAATCTGCTGTAAAAGAAAAGTTGTTAATTCATTTTTTACTAGACTGGCGTATGAACATATCAAATTCATCTGAATGTTTAAATTACAGGATTTTTAGAAACAATTTTGGACGAGAAATGTATCTAAGTAAATTCCCGAAAAATTTAAGAATAAAATTATCAAAATTTGTAACTTGTAACCACCAAGAGCGTCCAATTGAAGTTGGTAGATGAAATACGGACAGATCTTTAAGTATTTTTGTATTATGTATAAGAA